TTTAATAATTCTGGAATGATTATTTAGTATAAAATTGTTGTAAAGATTTTGTGATATGTTTTAGTTAAGCTCAGTTTACATAAAATATATATATATATATATAGTGATAGAAAAGTTTTAAGATTGTTTGTGTTGTTTCCCAATTATTTTGTTTGTGTTGGTGTTGTATATTTTACAAAATAAAAATTAGAAAATTAGTATTCAATATTTGGCCCTTATGAAGAAATCTATTACAGATTTAATAAAAAAAACGTCTAGTTCAATAAAAAGAATATTACAAAAGCATATTGTGCAAACGTGTATTATCTACATAAATATTCTTAAACTTAAAAATCAACCATAAATATTTTTGAACTGTAACAAAATATATCAGTAGAAAAAACTCCTAATTTTCTTAACCTTCCACCCAATGTCTTCCCAAAAAATCAGCCATATAAAGCTATCTGGATCTTAGTCGTTTGTCATTCATTGCAACTACGGTTCTTCATCGTCTTCTTCATAAAATTAGGAACTGTTGTTTAACATCAAATTATCCATGTCCTGCATATATGTATGTATATATTAGGTTTGCATTTTGTTGTATCTTCAGTTTGTTTAAAACAAGGTGGTTTATATTTTGCAAAAGTATTCTCTTTTTTTGTAAATATTTAATAAATTTGTTTTGTTTGTTTGTTTTTGTGTTGTTGTTATTTTAGGTTTTGTTTGATTTCTTCTTTGCTATATTAAATTTACATTTAATTGTGGAAAATGCTGTTTCCTTTTTCTTTTAATATATTTTACAAATGTTTGTGTGTTTTTTGTTATTATTCTTGGTCATTTTGTTTGTGTTTCTTTTGTACAGTTGTCTGATTTATGTTAGTTATCTTATATGTTTAGTTGTGTAAATTTTGTTATTACATTATTCCAAGAAATTTGTATGTAAATTCCATTAAATACAATGAGAGAAAAATATGTGATAGATAATAAATATGTGTATGTGTGAATATTCTTCTACATTTTCTTGATTTATAAACTATATATTTATAACTTTTAATGAAGAGTTCGTATTTGATTCGTTGCTAAATAATATTAGTAAGGTTATATTATGTTTAGTTTATTTTTTTAGTTCATAGAAAAATATTTTCCCTCTATAATAGTTAGAATTTAACAGAGTTGTTGACAAATCAATCATGGAATAATATACTTCATAAAATAAAAAAAAATTTTGAGTAACTTCGGGTATGGTGGACCCCCCATATCCTAGAAAATGCTTGAAATATGACAATGGTGCCATAATATATGTTTTCCGAAGTCGTTATATGTAACATATCGAAATATTAAACAATTTCAGATTTATGTTCGTTGGAAGGGTGGCATTTCACAGTAAAAAATGTTTTTACAGTTTTATGTTTGGTGCATTCAGTTGTGAGTTACAGGGTGTTAAAAATGGAAGCGAACAAAGAAAAAATTCGGTACATTTCACAGTTTGTCTTTGACAAAGGCGAAAATGGAAGCCAAGCGGTTAATATTGTGAATGGTGTTTATGGTTCCGATACTTTAACAACCAATTATGTGCAATTTTGGTTTCTTAGATTCCGTTCAGGAATTTTTGAAGTTAAAAAATGCACCTCGCACAGGTAAGCCGGTTGTCGAAAATGTCGATAAAATTAGAGAAATGATCGAAGTTGACCGGCATATTAGCAATCGTAACATCGGCCAGGAGCTAAAAATTGGCTATAAAACAGTTTTAAACCATTTACAATTGTCCAGAAAAAGCCAGAATTGGCCAACTGGAGAGGTGTCGTGTTTCACCAGGATAACTCGATTTTTAATACATCCGCCATACAGTCCGGACGTGGCACCAAGCGACTATCGTCGAGCAGAACTTCTATGAGAGAGGCATTGTGTAGTTACCTTTAAAATGGCAAAAAATTATACAAAAAAAGGTGCATATCGGACATTCCGAAGCATGTCGGACAAATCGGACATTCCGAATCATATTAAATAAGGTCCTATAGTTCATATGAAAATAATGGATTTCTTTTTCCAAAACCTAATATTTTTTGTTTTATTATTTCTGAAAAAAGAAGTTAATTAGAACTTCATTTTCAAAAAGTTACAGGTCGTTTATTTAGTTTTCAATTTCAGTTGCTTTAGTTTTGGCTACCACTCTATATCTAAATCTGAACCAATTTTAGCGAAACTTGCCACAGGTTAGACTTTACTAACTTCAGTACGTTTTGCATTTATTTCAAATCGAACGAAAATATATATGGGAGCTATATCTCAATTTAAATCGATTTCAACGAAACTTGCCAGAGGTTACGTTATGCTAACTTCAGTACGGTTTGCAAAATGTATATCAATCGGCCTAACTATGGTTCTTTGGTGCAACCTTTACTTAAAACCGGACTAAACTATATATGTGAGCTATATCTAAATCTGAATCTGTTTTCTCTAATTTCAATATGGCTCACCCTTGGAACAAATAAGTGTACTGTGCCAATCTATGTCGTATATATTTACTCCTGAGGTACATAGAAACTAGAAGTTGATAGTATATCCATATGGAGAATTGGACATATTTTGGGAATGAAATAGATCGAAAACTTATTTTTATCTGGTTTTCTAGTCGCTCTAGACGCCAAAATTATAATACGAACAACATAATTTTTCCATGGGAAAGGCCGACTGACCAACATATTCGAATCCCAGTTATGAACCGTCAATATTTAGCGGGAACGAAATTTTTTTGTGTAAAATAACAAAATTTGTATCGTTACTACGGGAAAATATGATTCGGAAAATAAGTCGTGGAGGAGCTGTTAACCACTAATCGGTCAAGAGGGTGGAAAATTGCGAAATATTTCCCAGGCTCGGAATATAGATCCGCACAAATTATCGCTAGTTGTATAGGGTATAATATGGTCAGCTCCGTCCGACTATATTGCTCCGCTCACTGGTTTCCTTTAGCACATTACGAATATATGCACAAAGACATAATACCCTGTACCAGCAATTTATTCAGGATATCATTTCGAGGGCCCCAAACAAACATAAATTTACTGTGAAACCTGTACCACAGTGTGTCGAGGGGTATAACCGGAATGCCAAATTGCAGTCCTTTCGGTTAGAAAATGTGGCTAAGAGCTGTAAAATTCCAAAGATGGGATAAGACCTTAATAAGACATTTATGTAAAAACATATATCGAAAAATTCAAAATACATGCATATTTGGCACTCACCAAAAATCAAATCAGCTTACTTACTGTCCTTTTGTTTGATAAAATGTGACTAAACGCTTTTAAATACCTAAAATTTATCGGTATCGTTATATGGACCAGTATATATCCCATATTCTACCAAACGTCATACGTGTGCAAAATTTCAAACTTCTATCTTGAATATTGCGAACCCTCGTAAGCTGGAGGGTATCGAAATACGATCGTGGCAAATTTATTCGAACACTTCGGACTTCGAAGCTAAAAAAATGCGGCGACTGTTTCGCTTCTTCCATTTGAATAACTTGTAGTGCACCATTCTGAATGGTGAGTCATTATGCACCATGATAAATGCAATCTCTCATACATCGACTCAAAGTAGAGCCGTGTTTACCGGCCAAAGGTGGACACGAGTGGAAAAATACCTCCGGAGTTGAAAATTACCTTCTTCTTGGTTTGAGCACATGTAGACTAAATTGCCCGCTTAACAGAGAACTGGATAGTTCGTACTCATAAAAAAGTACAATTAAATATTTCCAATGGGTCCAGTTAACTATTAAACGGTTTGCCTAATGAACAAGGATATAAAGCAAAAATTTCATCACGACATAATTCAAAAATTTTAAAAGTTGAAGTTTTTCTTCCGGCTTATAAACTTGCCTTAAACTCAAAGAAATATTCTTCAAAGATACATTTAATCGGTGTTTTGACATTTAATACTATATCCAATTTTTTTATATTTTATGGAGTTTAGGCTCGTGTTTTACGCAAATTGTCTAAAATTTTATATTTTTGATTCTCATTGAGTAGAAAGTCTCTCTACCAAAAATGATAGTAGGCCCATATTTCTGTATTCAGAGGGCTTGGTCAAGTCTTCAACGGAATTGGCAATAATTTGTTTTTTTTTTCAGGTCATTTTGGGTTGTCAAATCTTCCTAACAAATATTGCCAATATGGGGTTACGTTTATTCGGTATTTTCAAGGCTTTGGCATTATTTTCCCAGGCATTTGGATATAATTTGTTATAAAAGGATTCATACATAATGAGTTTTAGCGACATTTTTGTAAAGGATGTAATGTGGCATTCTGTGATATTTGAGGGCAAAAGATATTTTTGCAAAAAAATTTATAGATCGGAGTTTTTATACAGCCCCTACAAAAAGGTCCCGCAATTTTTTCAGTATTATTAGGTTTTTAACCGATTTTTTTTGTCGAAGCACTGTAATTTAGCCTGTGGAATTCTTATTCAATTTTACAAATACCCTATGTTGAAGATTTCCAACCTGAGTGTCTATAATTTGGAAATTATTTGTTCAGAGCATGGAGTACTACTAACTCTTCAAAGATAAATTTAATCCAATTGGCGAAAAAAATTAAAAAATTAAATTTGTATTCTTTATAATACATTTTTGTCAACAACTCTGCTAAAAAAATATGTAACATTTTTACTAATTATCTCGTTCCATTGTAAATATATTTGCTTTCTGGCTCTCTTATGGACTATACCTTTTTTGTGTTGGTTCGATAGAATTGCTATATAATTTTAATTTTTGATTTGTGAGTATTTGCTTTGTTCATACTTAAAAATATTACACTTTTTTCTTGCAAATATATGGATGTATTGGTTTCATTGTTCGATTTTGTCAGTTTCTTATTTCACTTTTCATTCATTTTCTTTTCATTTTGATATTGCAGTTATAACAAGTTGCTAATAAATGTTGTATGAGTTACTACTATATACTAACAATATTAATAATAATAATACTCTCTTTCTATGTGGCGGTCTGTTCATACTAAAATCTAATTTGCTATGGTAGCATTATCACTTAATGTATTCTGCTTGCAATAGCCCATCACAATATCGGCACGACAATCTTCGCTGAGACTTGGCAGGAGTACCGCAGCACCCAAAATAGTAACTAGAGCACCAAATATTACCAAACCCAAGGCGGGTAATTTTTCTCGACTTGTCAGCGGGTTTGGATCCAATTGTATAAAAGCCAAACCGGGTAAAATGTATGCCAATGGTATGGCTGCCAAAAGGCCCTGGGAAGAGACATAATATTTTCAAATATTATTGAATTATAAAATTCAAATATATTTACATTTAATTCCAACACGGAGCCCAAACATTCGGTCATTGGTGATATAACAAAAGCACTAAAAACAATGGCCAGTGTAATGTTTCGCGAATATTCATCTGTTTCGGCACCCTTTTCGCGTTTGGGATCTTTTTCCGTTGTCAATTCACTGATTGGTTCCTTCAAGACAAATCTATGAACCATGGCTCGTACAATCTAAAAATTAAGGAGAATTAGTAAAAGAAATAAAAAGCAATAGTTTCACAATTGTTATTTTATTTAGTTTTTGTTTTTTATTTGTAATTTTTTGTTTAATTTTTTATACCTCTCTTGAGACAAAACATTCAATAGGAAAAGTTAATAATATCGATATAGAGAAGAGTACACGTGAGAAATTCATCAGGTCATCATTCCAGCAGTAGTTTTCAAGTAAATCACCTTGAAACAATTAAATTAAAATTTTACAATTTTTCAATTACATGGAAATAATTGCAAAAGAAATAAGTTAACTACAACAAACGTTACGACATCTATGTTGTGTAGTATGTTACATTTAAAAGAGAGAAGAGAAGGAGAGGGAGCGCGTATTTGTTGTGTAACATCACAAGCTATAGTATCGGCATGTTATACATGTGTCTGTGCTGGATAGAAGGTGCTGTGAATATTTTGTGTTTGAGAAATATCTTGTGCTGTTTATAAAAATAAATTGTGCAAAGATGTTTCATACAAACATATTTATATTTTGTAATAGTTCAAATAATTATATAATGTTGACCAGTACGCGGAGCAAAATGGATATCTTGATAGAAACCGCAATATTGAATACAGGGTTTACTACTTTCTTTACTGGTTTCAGTATTATTAGGTGTTTAACCGATTTTTTTTTTCGAAGTGGCTGTAACATGGCCTGTGGAATTCTTATTCAATATGATTTTCTGGTCGCTCCAGATGCCGCAATTATGGCCCAAACATCGAGAATTTACATGGAGAAGGGGATCGGGCCAAAGAATAAGCATGCCTGTTTTGATAAAGATCGGTCAATATTTAGCGGGTCAAATGGACCGTGACTTTTGTGTGAAAAATGACAAAATTTGTATTCTATGCCGTATATATTTACTCCTGAAGGACATAGAGCCGAGAAGTTGATAGTATATCCAAGAGGAGTGGTTGGCCTTTAAATCGATACCAACTATATTGTCAGGTGCTTACGTATTCAGATATTATTTAGTAACCCATTAACATACTATAGGGCGGAAATATAGCACTGATCGCTTTGAAAGTTTCCATGAGGATCAAGGTATGGTCAAGGACATCGCCTATAATGTTCGGTGATGATCAGATGATCAGACCGAAAACTTTATTTTTTGTGTTTTTTTAGAATCGATATATAGGCCACAATTGAAAGCCGAGCATCGAAAACCCACGGTGAAGGAAATCTAAATAAGTAATTAGAAGGGCTGTACTTAATATTAATAATATTTGTTGGCCTCTAGTCGGTCAAAAGGGTGCAAATATCGCGATATAATGCCCATGTTTATAATATAGAACCATATGGTCGGCCCCGTCCGACTATACTGCTCCGCACACTGGTTTATAATATACATTAGGACGGGAACACATAGCTAGATCGATTCAAATTTGAGATTTGGACAAATTTTAAAAAAAATATTAAAATTTACATTTGTCTCCGATATATATTTTGAGATATTCCACACGAAATTCCAAAATCATCAAAACATCAAAAATTACTTTCCATCGTATAGTTTTGCACTAAAAATTCAATATTTTTTGTTTTCATTTTAAACCTCTTATTAATAAAAGACAAATTAAATACAAGTTTTATAGATAAGAAAAGTTTGACACAGATAAAAAAAAACGCTTTGTGGGGGAACCTCAAATCGTTTGCACGTAAATATTAGAAGGCACACAGATTTTGTTTTTGTTATTATTCCATCAGAACGTTGAAAAAATAACAACAACAAATTATACATTAAACACCGCAAAGCTCTGCTCAAGGTTTTAACTGATAAGAATAACATTTACTCTATATATATGTATATATATATATATATATATATATATATTTAAACACAAAACATTTATTTGTTGGAAATTATAATATTTTCATTATCAACCTTTAGAGGTTTCAGTTTAATGAAGTTGAGGAAACATTAAATAGGAATTTATTATAATTTTAGATTTCCTAAAATTCACACTGTTGAAAAAGATTTTCTGAAATCTTCAAAGCCACATGAAGCTAACTCAGAATCCATAATGAACCGAACATTGTACATCGTAGTATTTCTGAAGGTGTTCTACTCCTGCTGGTACATCATTCACAAATGGATCATCATTTTGCAAATTTCACTTGAAACTAATGATATTCCATCTACTACGCCATCTCTCATTAGAGTCTATATATATCCTTACAATACTCTTAAAAATGGAAAGCATTTGCATAAAAAATTTTCAATTTGAATCCCGTGATATCTCCTACTTTAAATACAAATTATCATTTTAATAAGCATATTTCCACAACTCAAAAGTGTCTCTGTATCGAAAATATGAACATTTGAGGTTTTTAATGTTTAAACAATTTATTTCTTTCCAATTAATTAAACTGTGCGTTTGTAAAAGTGCTTAGGCGACAGGAGTGTGGGTTAATTGCGTGTAGTTATGCTGGTGCTGGTATTTATAATAAACACATATATAATACTTCAAATATTCTCAGACGTGTGTAGGAGTGCAGTGTGCGTGGGAGTATGTGTGTTTAACTAAAACTGTGTGTGCTAAGGACAAGTACATATATGGTTTTGTACACACTTCATATCGGTTTTACTTCATTTCACACAAGGATTGTAAAGCGCCGACATTCTGGGCGACATATAATGACCTCAAACTTCTTGAATGTTCACACACACATACACACGCCCACACATACACACACTTGAACACGAACTAAGGAATATTTGTGGCGGACACATTTAATATGAACTATATACATATACACAAATTCATATGTACAAACACACACATAAAAACATTTGCCATTAAAGACCTAAGAAAGCAATATAAGAAAACACTTACCTTGCGATAAAGCCCTAAATGTTGAATAGCCAGCAATTCCAAAGAGAGCTGCCACTGTCCAGGCAAAACCAATTGATATATGGGTTACCTTTTCCCAGCGCTCCATGGTGGCTTCACGCATTGATTGATATACCAGAAATGTATTGTGGTGACACATGAATGCTATAAAGTGGACAGATATAAATCACAAATCATTTTACACAAAACTGTTGAGAATTCGATACTTCTTTTTTTTATTGTCGATACATTAAGGATAGTAAACGAAAATCATAAATGTATACCGAAAACGGTTTGAAGGTTGTATGCGAGTTAAAGTTGTTTCTATAGTATATTGTGAAGCCATATTTATAGTTTTATTATAAGTAGTAAAATCTAAATGGCCATAAACAGAGCTCGTAAATAACGGAGAGTTTTCAGTTATAAAATATTGATTACATTCACTTGTCGATAATTTAAAAGCATGAAATTATTTTAAGATTTCATAAAATCATATTGGTCAATTTGAAATTTCGTTTTTTCAACACCAAGAGCAGTGATTTCAGTCGAAATTGGGAAACATTGGTACACTCCTTCTGGTCTTTCAGTTTTTCCCATTCACACCCCAAGGTCGATTATTCCACGAAAGGTGCAATTTCCTAAGAATTTGGCTCGGAAGCTTGAGAAGGACAACTGGCACAGGAAAGGTTCATATAAATTGGTAGCATGTATTCTGGACTCTCGGTAACGAATTTTCATTACGAGTACATCTTTTGCTCATTCCTGTTCACCAGACTACCGACGGGCATGTTAGAATTGGTCTAATAACGCTCTTATATATCCGGCGTATCGTCTGTGGATTAAAACCCCATTAACATTTTACAGCAGAAGGACCACCATCCGTGGGCTTTGTCTACCCGTTTCTGTATGTGATTTTTATACCCTCCACTATAGTATGGAGGATATATTATAATTTTTTTCGTTTATAACTCACCGAAATAATAATTTCCCAACCTATATTCTTGATCAGCGTAAAATTCTATGACGATCTAAGCATGCCCGTCTTTCCGCCCGTCTGTTGTAATCACTCTACCCTCTAAATGAATTGAGATAGATCTCCAAAATTTTGCATAGTATTTTGTCTGCAGGCAAGACAAGTTCGAAGATAGACTATATCGGTCAACGTTTAGGCATAAATCCCATATAAGGGTAACCCCAAATTTTCGGTATTTTGGGGTTCTTGAGCGCGTTTGCGAAATTTAGCACAGCTCATTGGTTTTTCCCAAGGACGAATTGAAAAAAAAAACAGTTCAGATTTAGATATAGCTCCCGTATATCGCACATTTGCTGCATGACAGGTATAACTCAAAAAAAGCGATTTTGAAGAGAACGCGTTTTAAGTTTTCAATTTACGCGTGCTAAGTTTCGTGAAAATCGGTTCAGATTTAGATATAACTCTAATATATATATTCGTCCGATTTAAGGAAAATGGTGTACCAAAGTCTCTGTATACCCTTCGATTTCCACGAAATTTGGTACAGCGTACTGAATAAAGTCTAGAATGATGTGTGTTAAATTTCGTGAAAATCAAAAATGCGACGTCTTTTAAGATTCATCTGTTGAATTTACCCAAAGTGGTGAAGGGTATCATATAGTCGGCCCCGTCCGACTTTACCACTTTCCTTACTGGTTTTTCACTGAATTGGTGCACCAAAGTCCCTATATATCTTTCGATTGACACGAAATTTGGCATAGAATGATTCGAAAAGGTGACGTCTGTTAGAATACATATGTTGAATATACCAAAAGTGGTGAAGGGTATCATATAGTCGGCCCCATTCGACTTTTGATCTTTCCTTACTGGTTTATATTAAAATAATTATCTGATTTGTTCAGTGTATTCGTTACTCGAAATTGTCAATTTTTATCCTACAAAGTATGGAATTCTAAGAAGATTTAGCCATATTTTGTAATCATTCCGCCTTCTATGGATATCGTGATAAAATACAAAACTAAAATATTGGGTTTGAAATTAAGCTATTATGAATTAGGCATGGCCCGTCATATAATAATAACCTCAATATCTGCTAATACCTAAGTAGTCCATATTGGTCCCCCTTTAGCCTCTAAATTGCAGTAGTTTGGGAATTTTATACACATGTTCCACTCTAGCATGCGTTATCAATATCGGTCCACGGTTTCGGGTTTTCAGTTTTTAGGAAAAATCTCCACTTAAAGTCGCTGAAATTTGTATTTGGTGTACATAATGTTTTGCATAAATCGGTTTGTAGGATTGTCGGTATAAGTCCAATTTTTGGTATGTTTCCTATATTTTCATTTCATGTAACTTTCAGTATACCTATGGTTAATTCCCATCTTTTGAGTTATTACTTCCAATATGTATTTATTTTAAGAAATATTTTTTGATATTTACTAATTCTAGCGATTTCTGGAACATTCGGACAAAAAATTTGTTGTTTTTTTACTTTCCATACCATCACCAAAATTCAAAAATTTATCCGTACATACAATACTAAATGTTGTACCATTTATTACTTTTTCTAGTAAATTGTATACCATTTATTATGCTTTATAGTAATTATTTCCAAAACTACCTTCATATCCCAATTCTACAATTCTCAACAGTAATCTTAATTCCAAATTTCAGGATTCCACATGTATCGGTTTATCCAAACCTAATTTGTACTAAAATTTAGTACCTTTAGTAAACAGAAGTAGCAGTTCCAAAGATACCCACATAACCCAATTGTACAATCAAAATAATGTCTTATTTCCAAATTTCAGGCTTGTACCAAATTTAGTACACATAAGTACAAATTTCCAAAACAACCCACATACATCAATCATACAATCTAAAAGAAATCTAAATTGTCCAATTTATAGGGTATGGTATTGTCTACCCCGCCCGATTATATGTAGCGAATCAGCCATCAGCGTTTATTTCCCAGTTTTAATGTCACCCTTTCTTTCCTTCGTATTATTCACAGTATTCACCATTACTTCGATTAATGTATTTCCTATACCCATTTATAAATGTTCATTCTCATATGATTTTCTGAAGATGATTTCAAGATGTTCACAATTTAAAATTTTAACGACCAAATGCCATCTTCCTCTCATCGATAACCCCCCAAAAATATTACAATATCCCATAAAAATTTTGCAACAATAGGCATCTGCATTTCATCTATCACTTGTTACATAATTCTTCACGATAACCTTGTACTTACCAAAGACCATAATACCGGTTGCTGGAATGACATCAGAATTTGCAAATCTCCATGATTCCGCAGTATCCGTGCTGTGTAAAAAAAAATATAAAAAAGAAAAAAAAACGACACAAAAAAATACCACAAAAATTGTGAATTGTTAGTAGAGGGAAATACGGCAATGAGTCTAGGATAAAATTCAAATTATTTGAAACTAAAATCATAGCAGAAGGTGAGCTTACACACACACACTCATACACTTACTAACTAACTTCCCTGTCGCACTTGTTCGCTCATTCTTTGGGAGTTAGTTGTCGCCATAGTTATAAGTTCAAAACATTAAGATTTTTTGCATTGGGCTAGCAACTACAACTGTAAATTGCACTACCACAAGTGCGACTGCTGAACAACTGCCGCATTTTAGACGAGTGCCATTGCGAGCATTTTCCCTAGGACTTCACTTTTATTTGAATTTCCATGAAAAGTCAACAACTTAGTTAGGTTTCTACAAGAAGAAGGACAGTGACAACTTAAGGTGTCTACCCCACAAAAAAAAAAAAAAAAGAAACCGCATGGAAAACAAAAAGCTGAAACTGGCTAAAATATGAAATCTGCGGCAAGTCGAACCCCACAACAACAACAAAATGAAACACGGTACTCAAGTTAGCAATTAACACATTTTGCAAAGCATAAAAATGATAAAGTGGAACTGTTTGTATATAACCAAGGTAAACGTGAGTGGGTACTTCTGGTTGGCTGCAGTGACAACTGCTGTGGTCTGTTATGGGAACGGCAAAATACGAAAAGTAAACACCTTGAAATTCTAACACCCCCCATGAGTGTAATTTGTAGTTTTGCAAGAATATCAGAAACTATGATATTCACTTCCTAGTTTGTGAATTGTGGCCGGGAGAAGGCATAACAGATAAATGAAAATATTGCCAATGCTTGGAGGTTTGTTTTTTGGTATTATTGAGGGATATAAATAAAATGGAAATAGTTTTGAGGTCAGTAAATATGAATGAGCGTTGCAAATACATTGATTGCTGTTTATTGTTATAATGAAAGGTTTTGGTTAGGGACGTGTAATTTAGGTTGGATTGAAAAAAAAACATAATAATGAATGACTGAAAAAAGTAAAGGCTCATTAAGACAAAAAAGGGGTGATACTTAACTAGCTGAAATTAGCTAATCTGCTCCAAAGGGACACGTCAGTCGGGAACGGCTGTGTGATACCCTATACCTCGTATGCTTGAGTGTATTAGAGGGGTGCTTCAAAAGCCATTTTTATGATCAACAAAGGTGATGAATTATGACCTCAAAATTAAAAAAATAACCGACGGATGGAGTCAAATCCTATGAATTTTATTTGTGGAAGAAGCACTTCCAAACTAATTGTCGTTTTTCCATTGCCAAAACTGGTTATAGAGCGACTGATTCCCAGGAACGTAAAATGGACATTTCTCAGTGATGCACTACACTTTATTTCCATGGTTACTTACTTACTTAGCTGGCTTGTTACAGAACGGTTGTTCCATAAGCCGAGCTTAAAAAAGATTTCCAAGCGCGTCGGTCTTGTGCGCAAATCCACCAATTTGAAGACCACGTTCCAAGATGATATTTTCTACTTGGTATTTTCATCTAATTCGTGGCCTTCCCCTTCTACGGGAACCATCAGTAGGCTTTTGGGTAGGGGCATTCTCATTCATCCGCACAACATGGCCTAGCCACCGTAGTCGCTGCAGCTCAATACGACTGACTATGTCGATGTCCGCGTATAAATTGTAAAGCTCGTGGTTCATTCGACGCCGATATTCACCGTCGATGCAGATCGGCCGTAGATCTTTCGGAGAATTTTTCTTTCAAACACCCCAAGAACTGCCTCATCTGATGGCGCAAGTACCCATGCTTCTGAACCATATAATAAGCACGGGTAGTATCAGCGTCTTGTAAAGTGTGAGTTTGGTCTGGCGGTAGGTGGCCTTGTTTCCAAACTGCTTACTTAGACTATAGTTTTTGTTCACCTTTGCGTCTCGTATGACCTTTTCCAGCAGGATGTTAAAAAGATCGCACGACAAATTGTCACCTTGTCTGAATCTTTATTCTTTATTTCCATGGTGTCTACGAAGACGAGAATAGATATCATCGCCTTTTCGACCGGCAATGTATGCAATTTAATGTGTCATCCGTAAAGCCCCAATAATTTCCTTTCCCCACATCAAGAAAAAAAAATCAAAGAATCTTGTTTTAGAGTTGTACAAATCGGACAAAATGGTCGCGTTTATACCATCAGCCTTATAGCTAATAAGTGTATATACAATTTCATACGACAAAAATATGTCTCATCGAAATATTGGTTTTAGACTCCATTTTTTGGACCAAATCCTTTTCAGACATTTGGAGTCGATTTACAAATGTCCGTCCGGGAAAAAAGTCAATATTTATAAGTCTAATATCAGGCGAATGTAATGTCCGATATGAATCAAACATTGCACAGACTTTTATCTTTACCAATCCCAATGGTTCACTCCTTCTGATATGTCGAAATTGTCAATATTTATAAATCCGAATGGATTTTAACCAAACTTTGTACGACATATATCTTCACCAAGCATAGGTCAAATCCGAAGATGAGATCCATTTGTACCTCTCCCCAGAATGGTTCACATTTCCCCTATTTATAAATCCTATATCACACGAATAGAATGTCTGACTTGTACCAAACTTTGTACACACTATTATCTTTACCATGACTAAATCAAGTCCGAAAATAGGACCCATTGGTCCACTTCTTCTGGTACCACCCCACAAATGGTCGAAATTGTCAATATTCATAAATCCAATATCAAGCGAATGGAATGTTTGATTTGATCTATATATAAAGTTTTCGTTTCATTTCATCCACGAAATATTATCTGATCATCATTGAAAATAACCGGAACCGCATGCAAAATTTTCTAGCCATCAGCACTAAATTTCAGCCCTCTAGTGTAATAATGGTAATACTAAACAATATCATAATACGTAATTCTCTTTAAATATTTACGTACGACTAGATGCAAGAATTTGTGTGGATATACTAACAAATTATGCAGTCTATGTCCTTCGGAAGTTAATATATACGCCATAAAATGAAAATTTTATGGCGTATATTTGTAGGGTATATGTCTGTCGGCAACTCCGACTGATACTTTTTTTTACCTTTTTTATTCGTCAGCAATCCGGAATGCCAAATTGTAGCCACCTTCATGGGGGCAAACATTTTTTTCGAATTACATCCTCTTCTACAACCTTCAAATTCCGTAAATGGGACAGAGCCTTTATATTGGGGCTATGTCCACATATATAGACCTGTGTAGATAATAAATTTATTTTACCCTATACAGTTAGTTGAAGTCACATCAAAGTGAGAATGCGGATATAACCTTCAACCTGGGATATAACCTTTAAACCTTGATAACTTTTTGGAAGGAAGTTGTTCACCGATATGCCAAATTATAGCCACTTCGATTCGAAAATCCTGTTAAAACATTAATACCTACACTTGATATGTAAAGAATTTTTTTCCAAAAATGTATTTTACACTCCAATATCCTTGATCCAATTTACATCCACTAGAATGGGAGAATGTAGCTAAAACCTTCAAAATACTGGCCATAGGGTGTTTCCATTATATGGGGGATATATCAAAACATGGCCCATTTAGATTATTTTCTGTTTTGCATGTATGTATACCTTCAAGAACCCTTCAAAATATAAAATTGGTTAGTACCGTTACGTGGGAGCTATTACAAACCGAAACCGATTTTTTAAATTTTTTGGCAGTAAGATTGGATACCCTCTGAGAACGGGAAAAATCAAATTAGAGCCAATTCGTTAGGAAAACGTACCTAAACCCTCGAAATTACCGTATGATGGGGTGTAGCGTTAAATAGTGGACAATTTTTAGTAGGAATATTTTCAACCCAGATTGCAGCAGATTGAGTTAAAAAACGTTCTCAAAAGCATAAAAAAACCTAAATTTAGGCTACTCCAAAAAACGGGTTAATACTAATAATTTTTAGAAGGAAGATTTTCTATACACTGAGAACCCAAAATATCAAATTACTGCTGATTAGGTTGAAAAAACGTGCACAAATCTCAGATTTTCGAATAAGGGGGCTACGAGAAAACTTGAGACAAAATTGATAATTTTTGTTCAGGGACCCGCCCATTAACAATTTTTTATTTTTAAGATTTTTTTTTTTTTTGTTGAAGAATCGCCTATTTTTGACCACAAACTAAGTTAAAAAAAAACGTAAGGACGATCTTCACCGATTGGCTTTATCCTAGTTCATACAATAGCTATACACTCACAGAGAAACGTCCCAAAATTTGAAATCGATTGGATTATTAGTTTTTGAGTTATCGTGCCCGCCATTCGCAAAAACGCTGTTTGGAGAAAAACGCGTTTAAAGTTTGAGAAGCCCTCTTGCTGTCACCTGATACTAACACAATAAATCGGCTATATCTTCAAATATTGTTGAGATTTTCACTTAAAAATTTATGGGGACATTCTTGAATTAGTGTAGGTTCAAATTGAGTCGAAATAAAAAATTATTTTTTTTTTTTTGAAACCGAGAATGGGTGGGGTCCCCTTAAGGAGAGTTACTACTGATTATCCAAATCATAAGAGTACAGTCAATTTAGGTAATTTTAATGTAGAAATTAAAAATCGGCGATGATAAAAAAATAGATTTTGAATAACCAAATCTATTTCTAAACCATCGTGCCTCTATATATTCTAATATGAATTATTATTACAACTGCCGCACAATATTTGGGGATAGTTAAAATGGTAGTTATATGCGGTATTTTATGGTCATCACTGTTCGTCTGTACAGCTTCGCTTACCTATTTTCCATTATTTTACATGAGATTTAATAAATAATTTCTCACATTTTATGTATTCCTAAAATATCGCGTTATTTAACTCCCCATTAAATGAATAATAATTTCCTATTATAATCTAAACATTATTCACTTAACCATTGCGGTAATATTTCAAATCTGATAACAACGTTTATTCAATTTCTTTTCCGCAAATTGTCAC